ATCACCGCTAGAGAGGAGGATGATTGACCTCCTTCACCCTCTCCTAAAGATCTGTAAGGAAATAGGGATATACGATCTCCCTAGGTAACACAATATACTCTATACGTAATTTTTCAGTTTCGTAAATTTTACGCATCAATCTTCGCACGACGACAAACATCTCTTTGGGAATCAGGGATTTTGTTTTCTAGTTCTTCCGCTGTGCATCTGATGTCGCCCCCAAGATTTTCCAACAGTCAAGTCCTTAACCTACATGCTATCACAAAATTCTCATCTAATACCATTGAACCCACCACCTTTACTCAAGCTCAAAAATCTTTATATTGGCGTAACGCCATATGTGAGGAATATGATGCCCTCTTCCATAACTCAACATGGAACCTAATATCCTTTCATCATACACAAAACATCATCGGGTGTAAGTGTGTCTTTCGAATTAAGCGGAACCAAATGGATCTGTTGCCTGATATAAAGCACGTCTCATCGCCAAAGGGTTTCATCAATAACCTGGAGTTGATTTCACTAAGATATTTAGTCTCATTGTTAATCCCATAACAATCCGACTTATCCTAAGTTTGTCTACTACTAAAGGCTGGCAATTACAATAATTAGATGTTAATAATATCTTTTTACAACAGACTCTAATTAAAGATATTTTTATGCAACAACCTTCTAGTTTCATTTATCCTTAGTATCCAATGCATGTTTGCAAACTTCAAAAAGCTATTTATAGACTTTGTTAGGCTCCAAGAGCCTGGTACATTGAACTTGACTCATTTTTACTTCAGTTGGCTTTATCAACTCCAAGTCTGATACCGCGTTATTTCTACGATAATAACATGGAGATACAATATATATTATGGTGTATGTGGGTGACATTATTGTTACAAGCAATAATCCTATAGAGATCCAGGCATTCATCAAGCAATTGGCAAATCGATTCTCTCTTAAAGATCTAGGAATCTTGAACTATTTTCTAGGTGTAGAAGCAACATACACGTCTTCATGTCTGTTCCTCTCACAAAGAAAGTATATTCAAGATTTATTATCAAAGATAAATATGCAAGACACAAATGTAGTTACAACTCCCCTCTCTACTAATGAATCTCTTAAATTATCTGATGGAAGTCTTGCTATGGAACCCACTCAATACCGATAAGTAGTTGGCTCTTTGCAGTACTTAGCTCTCACCCATCCAAACATCTTATTTGCCGTCAATAAATTATCACAATTTATGCAGTGGCCATCTACTATGCACTGGTCTATAGTCAAACTAATCCTGCGATATCTTAAAGGGATCCTCAATCATGGTCTCTTTCTCTATAAACACTCTCCACTTCATCTTCATGCCTTTGTCGATGTTGATTGAGCAGGAAACTTTGATGATAGAATATCTACATCGGGGTATATAGTCTTCCTTGGAGCTAATCCAATTAGTTGGAGTTCTAAGAAGCAAAAAATAATTGCACAGTGAAGCTGAATACCATGCCATCGCCACTGCCACTATAGAACTCAATTGGGTCACAAATCTGCTCAAGGAACTCAACATAAATTCCACTCTTATTTCTACAATATATTATGATAATGTCGGAGCTACCTATCTATTCGCCAATCTAGTGTTCCACTCTCACATGAAACATATTGCTATCGACTTCCACTTCGTGCGATATCAAATCGTCTAACGTCAATTACATGTTTCTCATGTACATATGGCTGATCAATTAGCAGACTCACTCACAAAGCCTCTCGCTCGTAATCTCCATTGCATCGGTCCAAGATCGGTATCCTTGATAGGAGCACTATCTTGCGGGGGCATAATAATAGATAAGTTTTCTCCAACTGTATGAGGAAATCTTGCTGCCCTATTGAGGGAAATCCTTCCTCCTAACTTGTATAAATAGGAAGAATATCTCAATGAGGAATATAGTTTCTTCCATAATTTCTATCTTCTATCCTCTTCTAACAACTACTTCTCTATTTATATAGGGCCAATCTAAGATTTTTATTTCAAATATGATAATGACTTAAATCCTATCTAATCATAAAATTTTACTTAATATATCAGCATACCAAACTTGTAAATGGTTTAAAGATTTTGAGAATTTGATTTTAGAGAAGATAAGCGTCAAGATCTTTTAGAGTAGGAGAAGCTAAGCATAGGCATACGATCGATTTTAACACCTTTTTGTCTCGTTGGTACCTTCAATATTTTATTTTTCTTTATCTTAATTTATATTTTTGTCGAGTAACACTATTATCATCCTCCTTTGCTTCTCAATCATCAACTTATTCCCAACTTTTAGAGTTTTGTTAAGACACGAGTAATTAATCGATGCTCTTACTTTGACTAGTGATGTTACCACAAAAACAAGAAATTCCCTAAGGTTAACATCAAATGGTTTGATAAATTTAATTTGATGATGGTTTGGTTCATGTATAATAGTGTCAGCGAGAAGTTGATGAAGACATGACAACGATTAAAGATTAAAAAAAAAATAAGGAGAAGAAGAAGATGATGATGATGATGATAATGCTATAATTTTATTTTAAAGATGATCACCACACCATCATGATGATTATATAATTAAATATGTAGATTGACTATATAATTCTACCGTGAATCGAGATTTGGCCTTATATTTAACTTAGCTTCTTCACTTGTTTACATGTAACCTCGCCACAAGGGACGACTTATGTAACACCTTTTTCTACAACTGATGGCCGGCAGAAGACAGTACGATAAAAAAATAATTCTCGCGATACGTCGCTTTCAAACCCGCCAACGTTGACCACTCTGGGAGTGCGCGCCCGTCGGGGGGCCCGGTCGCAACAGCCGACGGAGTCTTCCGCCCTGCCGGCCGGGTCGTGTCCGTAACCACATGACGCTGAGATTAGCGACACGAGATGGACGGCCTCGATGTTATTCTCGTCCAAGATTCCACCCGCGCGTCAAACCAAGTGCAGAGCACGTGAGCGTGGGCATTGCTTAATCAACGGTCTCGATCCTGCCAAACGGTGCAACCCACCTCATAGGACGGTCGTCGGTTTTCTGTTTAGTCTTAATTAATTGCTTTCGTTGTTCTTTACCCGACCGCTCGCTCGCTCGCTCGCCCGCCGTGGTCTTCGCTTTCGTCGGGAAGTTCTAGTCTCTCTCGTTTCTTTCTTTCTCCCTCTCTTCCTCTCCTTCTTCTCGTCAAGGAGAGGAGAGGTAGGCATCGGTGGGTGAGCGAAAGCCCCAGCTGTTCTGCCTCGGTTTTGACCTTCGATCTCTCCGCTGGTCTTTGATCCCGGCCTGGGTGCTCGTCGCCGGTCCTCGCGGAGCGCTTGTGGGAGGTGAGATGAGTTTGGCTTCTCACAAACTTTGTTTGAAATGAAAACTTGTTTTCCCCATGAATTTGTGTTTGACCTTTGCTTTGTTTCCATCTAGTCTTCTCTATTTAGTGGGAAATTTGGAACCTAAAGACTGTTTCCGGGGGAAGGTTAGAGGGGAGGAGATTAAATTGGTTCCTGTGTCGTTGACTAGAGATAAAAAGGTATGAGCTCTGTTTCATTTTAATTCAGTTATGGATTCCTTAGGCAATTGCAGGTGAATAAGAGACTTCTTCTCAAAAATAAATTGTGGCCAGTTAGAGAAGATCGATTTCGAAAGATTTTATTTTTATAATCTTTGTTGCCATTTTTATTGATGATTTGAGTGGAAGGTTAGGCAAATGTATTGGTACTTTTGCTTCTTACAAAAATTTCTTTGTAATGAGAGCCAAAGTCGGTTGCAAGTTAGCTGACGAGTCGTGAATCCATTTTCTTCAGGCTAAACAAAAGAAATATCCTCACACACATTTTACCTAATAGCTGGGAAAGCTTGTTTTTGGTATGTGTACGTTGAATTGAATTAGTTCGTTCTTTGTACTGAATATTTAACTCTAAACTAAAAACATTGGTTGGTCTTCTTCCCTTCATTGAGAGTTTCGAATTGTGGTTTTCTTTTCTTGATTGACCGTATTAGTACTAAGAACTTAAATTCTTTTTTGGTTAATGTCAAATTTTACCTAACATAATTTATTTTTTTTACATTAGAGAAATTATGTGTTTCCTGTTTCTAAATGGAGCGACGAAGGCAGAGCTCCAATCAAGATTTTCTGCATCAATCAGGTCTAACAGTACAACATCAACTGAACGTGACATGAGAAGATCAGGGTCTGAGTTGAACTCTAGGGATGTTTCCAGTGATGCCGCTGATTACATGGAGAGGCCTCTGTACCCTAGCTTCTCCCAGATAACAAGCAATCTCAGGGTTTTCACATTTTCAGAACTGAGGACTGCCACAAGGAACTTTAGCCGGTCGCTAATGGTTGGAGAAGGTGGGTTTGGATGTGTTTACAAGGGAACAATTAAGAGCCTTGAAGATCCAAATGCAAATATTGAGATTGCGGTAAAAAAACTAAATCGTAAGGGACAGCAGGCAAGTTTCGTTTCTCATATATTCTTTGCTTTGTGGCTTATTGTGTGCAACTCAGCCTCGTCTTACTGACCAACTGTTTTGTTGGATTGGAAAAGTAAACTGATGAGATAACTCCATCAGATGGACATATGAACATTCTTAGTTAAGGGCCTAAAATCTCTACCTTTCTTTGTCAAATATGATCAGAAATTGACTTGGCTATCACTGTGATTGTTGGGCTTTCTAAAGCAATTTTTTTCCTGGCACTAAAGGAGGAGTTTTTTGTTTCTATGCAAGAAAATTTCGAAGTTATTTTACATCCTAGAGTAAGATGCTTGTCAGATGTTAATAAGAAAAAGTATATCTAGTGCACGAGGCTCCTACTAATGCAGGGTCTAGGGAGGGTCAATGAATGCAACATATTTTTACATATTTTAAGAGACTATTTTCGTGATATGAACTCTAGTATCCTAGGACACAAAGGAGCAACCTTACCATTGTACCAAGGCTTGTTAGACGTTAATACATCTACAAATTGAAGCATGATCTCATTGTTACGTATGACCAGGGTACAATGTGCTGAACATTTTACCTCATAAACTGAAATTTCATTTCTTTCTAATCCTTTCCTTCTAAAGTTTCAGTTATTGGATCTTTGCTAGCAGCAAGCACTTAGGCACCTCAGTTCCAGATTATAAAGCTAGCCTTCATATCAATAAAGTACACTTGCATAGACCATCTTATTCCTGGTCCCCCTATGACTGGTGATCTTGTACTCACCAATGGATGGATATCATCTAGAAGCTTGCTTACTAGAATTTACAGTATTTACTTCCTACAAGCATTGGACCATATGGATGGCATTCTCATATGGGAAAAATTTTCTTGGCACATGTTATGCATGTAATGTCATAACCATCTCACAGAAAATGGCATGGACTGTGGTTCATGTCACCATGCTGTATTGCAGCCCCATGCTTGGCAAGCAAGTCAGTCCTTGGTTCCTCATAGCAACCCTTCAACACCATGGATAGGCATGTTCAATCATTGATAATTTCTTTTCGTGGCCACTGCCATTCTACCTCATGTTGTCTCATATATGATAATGGTTACCTGGACTATCTATCCGAAAAGTGACAGATTAGATGTTTTATGTGGCATTATCATCATAGATATACAATAATAATATAAGTATATATGTTACATGCCTGAAGATGTGGATGATCTTAATGTGACCCTTATCCTTATGTTCAAGTATGTGAATTCTATTTTGTTATACACGAGTGACAACTCCCCCATCCATGTTTTTGGCAAACAGATCTTCGTTGCTGAGCTGCTGTAGAGCGCCTGCTTACTTTTTCTTTTTCTTTTCTCTTGTTCATGTTTCTGCGTTTGTATTTTAACAATTCTGACTTCATCACTTTTTATGCATGCATGGATGGATTCAAATATTAGATGTTTCCAACTAGTGAACATGAGTTAGTTTTTTTTTTAATCTTTAAGCATGCCCAGAGGCCTTATTATCCTTATATACTTCAGTGTAGACTGCCTATGTTAGTCATGATAGAAAATCTATTACATGTTTGTTTGTATGTGATTTTCTAGTTTATTTTTTTATTGATTCTGTACTGCTATAAGTTTATATTTATGCCATAAACTGGGAGGAATCCTCATTATGCTATTATCCGTAGGGACATAAAGAATGGTTGACAGAAGTTAATGTTCTTGGGGTGGTTGAGCATCCAAATCTTGTCAAATTGATAGGCTATTGTGCTGACGATGATGAGAGGGGATTACAACGGCTTCTGATATATGAATATTTGCCAAATGGAAGTGTAGAGGACTATCTGTCTCCTCAATGTAAGAGAACACTTTCTTGGTCCATGAGACTAAGGGTAGCTCTTGATTCTGCTCGTGGATTGGCATACTTGCATGAAGAAATGGATTTCCAGGTTTCAGATCAACTTATGTATCAGTTCTTATTATATGCTTGACATGTTAATGTTCATAAGTTGTGCATCTTAATAATTATTATATGTGTGTAAATTCTTGAACCTGTAGATTCTGTTAGTGATTCAACTGTACCATTTATTTGTCATACTAATTTCTATCAGGTGATGCATTTTATTAGATTTATGCTGTACTTTCGTGCTTTCTTTTTAAAACTTCCTGTTGATGAGAAAACTTTGGAATTGCTAAACTTATCAAGGTTAAATTACATAAATAAATTTTAGATCTTGAAGTCAAAGTGCAATTGATTCTGAAAACATGTTGAACATTGCTTAATCTATGACTAGAAAGTCAATATCTTTGTACTGATGCTTCTACAAATGTGACTTGAGAGAAAAATAGAAGTTAAGACACCTTTTGCTCTTCTGCTTTAATATTAAGTTTGTGTTGTTTGGTATTATCAAGTCTGAATAGCTTGTATATGATGTTTAATTCCAGATTTCCTTCGTTGGGACCACTACCTCATTGATGAAATTGTTGTTTGCTCTACTCTAGATTAACAAAAATAATTGTAGAAATTGGACCAAAAATGCACAAATATTAGACATATTTCAATTTTGCCTTTTTATTATTATTTTCATGCTACTATGTTTTAATTATTGTCAAGGACCCAATGGAATATAATAACTCTTTTTCCTCTTAATTTTGACTTTTAGAGCTTTTGAATTTGGTTTCCTGTTTTGGGATGCATGTGTCATGTGAGTTCTATTTTGTTTGTAAGTTGTACTTGATTGTGTTTTAGAAGAGCGGAGAGAGCTCGATTATGGTTTCTCAAAAAAAATCCACTGTCACTTTGTGTTGCCAGATTTTTTGGTCAAATTATGGTGGTGGCAGTAGAAAGTCTAGTATCAGTATTTAGATCTACTATTGAGTCTGGTGACCACAAATTCAGACCCAACTTGACTATCCTAATCATGCTTGCATGAGCAGTATTTATTTATGAACATAATCTATTTCATTAAGTGGATCGGAGCCCATCCTCGATAGTTCAGGTCTTGGTTCTTCCAAGTTGCAGACTACTAGAAAATTTTTTACTTGATTTAAATTAAATAAACTAACTTTGACACCCGGGTTTGTTGATCTTGTGCTCCAGAAAATGTGAAACTTAAGCTTGATTTAAAATATTTATTTTGGCAGATATTTCTAAGAGAAGCTTAATCTCACTTGTTCCATCAGATAAAAGTGCTGATTTTATGCTATTTGGCAGATTATATTCCGTGATTTTAAAACCTCCAATATTCTTTTGGATAAAGACTGGAATGCAAAACTGTCTGACTTTGGCTTTGCTAGACAAGGACCAACAGAAGGAATAAGTCATGTTTCCACAGCGGTAAGTGATGTCAAAAATCCAATGGATCCCATTAGGTTCATTGCAATTCCTTGTTATATTTATATCCTTGTAGTATTGCAACCTTTACTGGTAAAGATATTCCTGAATATTTTGGATAGTATCTGTGAATCTCCTATCTTTGTCATATAGATACCTGTGACGGATTCAAGGAAAAGTTAACCAGGCTCATGGCAAGCTAGCGCCTTCATGATTGCAGTAGCACAAATATCTTTGTAGTTATTTTCTTCTCATCGTGATCTTTTCAGTAATTACATTTTACTTGAAGTTTCTACAAAGTTCCTTGCTACAAATTGTGTACATGGTTATATATTATATTCTTAGAAAGTTCAATTAAGGATGTGATGTTTTGACAGGCCTGATGCACCATGTTAGAGATTGGACTAGGAAAAGCCTCAAATTTTATTCTCTCCAACTAATATTAGCATGACACATATTATTTGTTTAATTCCCTTTTGTCTTGATTAAACATAAGCAATGGTTATAATGACTAAATGTTTTAATCAAGTTAAATGGGAATAAAATAATAATAAGTGTCGTGCTAGAATTAATTGGAGATGAGGAATATTGAGGTTTTTCCTCTTCCAATTTCTAACACACTATGTGCATGCTTTTTCTAACCGGCACAGTATAAAAAAAAAATAACATTCTTAATGATTGTTTGGTAAATCTAAGATCAAGAGGTGATTTAGCCAAAGATGGAATGAGTCCCAACACTCTCCTGTCATCTAGTCAATCAAGAAACAAAACACTTTGGGTAAAGGAGTGTCATCTGATGACAAAAATGGTAATCAATCAAGAAGCAAAACACTTCAATCGAGGACCTTGTTTTCTTTTCCCTGTTTTATCAAAGTTACACTTTATAATAAGTAAAAGATGATATTTAGATTTTCATGTCATAAATTTATTTACCTGATTTTTTTCCTTATTAATTGAACAGCAAGAGATTCTGCTAGTGGCACTTGGGGCCATACTTAGTTGGCTGCGATAGAGTTGGGATTCTGGAAAGAAATAACAAAACAGCATCATTCTATATTTCTTCATTTTCATGATTCAGAACATCTTCTATGTTGGTTTCAAAAGCACCAAATAATGAATGCGAAAAATGACGCAATTATCTTGGTCATTATTCTTGAAATGTATGCACCTCATCATCTCATTGATCCCATATCTTTTTTTTATTTTTGCTCAAATGCTGTTTTAATCATTGATCACAGAACTTAAACTTGTGTGCCTATATGGATCATATTGACCACTGGGTTCAGCTTACTCTGTCACATCATATGCACCAAAATTTTCCATGCTCTCTGTTTCTAGATTTCACCTCTCCTATTTCTTTCTTTAGTTTTCTGAATGGGTCTAATAGTTCTATCACAAATATATGCTTGTGTTATGAAGACAATTAATAGATGATTCAACATAAATATATAATGGAATAGGTGATTTTTATGAAAGTGCATCATTGTTAATGTTTGTTCTTAATGTTATTTGATGTGGTAGTACAAAAATGGAGAAAAAAAGAATAGAGATAGAAAAAAGAAATATAAGAAAAGGCCAAAGCCTGGTCTTTTCTTTCACTTGCAGCCCTGAAGACTTAATGCCCACTCTTCCTTCTCTTTTCTGCTGTATTTTCCTCGGAATAAGGATTTCATGCTGTACCTCTTCTAGGTGAACCTACTATTATGAAATAAGTGGATATACTAGCTGTGACTTTAGAGCTCAGCTGATTTGTGAATCTTGGGGTGACTGTTGACTTTTTATGACCATCTGTGCCTTTGCCAGTGGTGATGCATGACCGAGTACAGCAGACTTTTCAGCTTCATGGAAAACAGTAACCTATCTAATGGCCTAACTTAAATAGTAAGGAATCCAAAACTATTGTATTCTTGTGTGCAGAAATTCATCGTTTTTTATCCTTATAAATAGGGCAAGTTGGATAGGAAGACAGTGTTGCTTGCATACTAGATAAGCTTAAATTGTTGGATAAGTGACTATCTAATATTAGTAGAAAACAGAAACATAGATGAAAGTTCATCATAATATGATTGGGCACCACTCTTTGGACCTGTTTCCCTGCCTTATCTGCAGGCAAGGCAGGTGATCTGAGGGCAAGGAGACTGTGCATAACCTCACTGTTGGATCCACTAACAGGCCCATGCTGCCTCTCCAATCACCTGCCTTACCCATGGTTAGGGAGGTTGGTAAAACCACATTTTTATATACGATCATGTTTTCATTTGCTTCACAATTGTTGAAATATCACAAAATTCTTTAAAGACTAAGATATGCTAGAAGCAGGATTCTGAATGTCGGAGAAATATTTTGTCAACTGCACAACTGCTACTAATAAATAAATGGAATAAGAACCTGATTAACTATCAATAGAAACACTTTCCATGGTCCTCTGTAGCTAAATAAATTGTATCCAAAGCTTTTCTTTAATAGCATCATAAAATTCAACAGGTTGTAGGAACTGTGGGTTATGCAGCACCTGACTACATGCAAACTGGTCGCCTGACTGCCAAGAGTGATGTATGGAGCTATGGAGTTTTCCTCTATGTACTTATCACAGGCCGTCGACCTATAGATAGAAAACGTCCAAAAGGTGAACAGAAGCTCTTGGAATGGGTGAAGCCACGTATATCTGATGCCAAGAAGTTCCATATAATTATGGATCCAAGGCTAGCAGGTGAGTACTCTTTAAAATCTGCAATAAAGCTTGCTTCTGTGGCGAATAAATGCCTACTGCGGCAGCCAAACTCTAGGCCGAAGATGAGCGAAGTTTTGGAAATGGTGCATAAGATTGTGAAAAGTACAGAAACTGGAGAACCACAGCCCCCATTAAGAAACTGTGATTCAGAACAAGGAAACCCAGAAGCAGCAGAAAAGAAAGGTCCGAGGAAAACTCTTAAAATCTTGGGAGGCATGCAGTCGGTGTGGCAGGGATGCGGGTCAAAGCTTGTAAATATATTTTGAGTAGCTTTGTGAGTGTTGGAAGTTACAGCAATGTTCTTTTGGAGAGCTTCTGTTTTCTCAGAGCAATAGTCAAAGAGGAACTAGTATTATTATATCGGAGATTACATCATCTTTCAAAATAGATTCTGTATATTTCGTTCGTCCCTGTAATCCTCAGAATGATTAAATGTAGAATTGGTTTGTTTTTTTCTAGTGGATTCAAAGATATCACACTGACAATGGCATCGCTCCAAATAATCAGGATCTTGTGACTCATGTCTTGTTTGATCATATTCTAGCATTACGGTTTGCAGCATCAATATTTTTGTTCTGTTCCATAGATCATTGGCATCGAATAATTACGAAGTTCCCGTTGGTTACCAGCAAATAGAACTGTATATTGGGCGTTAAGCTCATTTCTCTTTGAGATGTTAGAATTACTATCAATCAGTTATGTGGAGCCTCGTAATCTGTGCCTGACGGTTAATGAATCATGTAAGCTTCCTTGTATTGTGACAGCAGTCGTACAGTTCATGAACAGGTCAACTTTGGTCATAGATTAACTTGTATCTATCTCATTGATCATAGTTTCTCCACGCAATGAAGTTGATGTAGGCTCCAGAAAGACTGTCGGACATCAGAGCGAGGGAGCTGCATTGCCTGTATTAGTTCGCTAGGGTGCTGGAGCTGGGATTGCAGAGTGCTTCTGGGAAGTTACAGAACCTTCTCACCAAGTTTCTCGGAGGACAACAGATGTGGAATTATGCAGTCTCAGTTCACCATCCACCCGGGTAAATTGAAGATCTCACATGGATGATCAGTGGCCAACCTCAATATCGTGTGTGTTCTTCTGGGCACGAGTTCCAACTAGATTCCTGGATTTTAATGATCCACAGCAGAATGCTTCGAGATTTGTGCTCCAGAATTGTGTGTTTTTTGCACATCTATTTGAATGCAGGGCTGAAAGGTATTTGAAGTTCTTGTAAATAATGTCTAAATCAAATGTAGTATAAGATTTTGGTGATTTTGATTCGTTATTACCTCCTGCATGTGGTTTTAATCGTTCGGACAGTACTACTTGATTGATTTTTTTTAATGATGATTTTACGGAACTTGGTTCTGTGCTATGAAATTTCCAAGGATAGTCATATATTGATTGCCATAAATCAATTTGGATTTTTTTTATTTTTATTTTTTGTGAACTTCGTGATATATTGCTCTTCAGAATTTTTTTTTTTTTTTTATGATGAACCCGAGAAAGCTCCATCAAAACACATTTTTGTAACAGAATAGATAGGAAGATGATCGTATAACCAACATGGATTCGTGTAACACGAATGATAGAGAATAAACAAATTTTATGCTGTCAATATCAGCAGAACAAATCATACATATATTTCAGAAACAGCTATGATTGGCTATATATTTATTTCATATCATATCATATTATGTCTCCATACGTTGCATACACAGTAGAGAGAGAGAGAGCTTTGATGATACAGTGGCTATCTTCTCCCAAGATGGATTCCCTCAAAACAAGGGACCAAATACAGTGGAAACAACAAGGAGACCATGACAAAAGATGATGCACGCGGCTCCCACACTGGCAACAGATTCTCTTCCTTCCCCTTCGTATCAGCGTTCACAGCATCTCGACTTGTTCACAGCATTCAAACCAATCCACACAAAAGTGAGGGGCACAGTCAAGGCCTGTGGAGCATCCTCAGGTGACAACACCTACCAAGGGTCTCACTGCTGTACTGCTGACACAGACCATGCCACCATCACTGGTTTCACTGGTACCAGGTTCTTAAAAGGTGTAGTAGGAAAATATTTCCGGGTACTAGGTTGTTGCCCACAACCAAGGCATGATGCCCCCACATCTAAAAGAGCAATCACATGAGCTTGTCGAACCCATCCATCTTCGCTGCTGCTGCTGCTGCTGCTGCTGCTACTCTCTCTTTCTTTCTTGTTCTTCTAGGGTTTGCAAGGAAAACCAAAAAAAAAAAAAACTAGAGAACATTGAGAATGCTGAGAG